TTGGGTACTGGTTAATTGAGAGAGAGGACTGCTTCTTGGGTACCGATTCATTGAGAGAGAGAGAGAGAGGCATCAGGACTGCTTCTTGGGTACTGTTTCATTATGTGTGTGAGTGAGAGAGAGACCCCTTCATACATAAGATGCAGTAAGAAGTCTTTTTTCTTGTTTGGTGGGAATCTTCGGGATTGCTTTCTAGGCCCCTTATAGTCATCATATTTGATGGGGAGTTGGTTAAATTTGTTTCCAGGGAAACGTCAGTCTCATTTTCACTAAAGGTGACCTCAAGGAAGTGCATGATGAGGTTGCCAAGTTCAAGGTATGACTATGGAAGTTTCTTCTGTGTTTTTGGGTTATAATCGTTTGCACGCCTATTGCATTCTCCTAATTGTTCCCTTTGAGAGAGAGAGAGAGAAAGAGAGAGAGAGAGATAGAGAGAGCTCTTTTTTGGCATCATGGAGTGGTCATGCTCATTTCTAATCACAGTGTTTCGAAACAGATTTGTAGCAATTTGAATGTTTAGAAGGCCTATATTTTGAGAAACATGGATTTTGCCAAACTCATCAGCATGTCCATAGTATCTCCCTTGTCATCTCTCTACAATCTATTGAATTTCTCTTTCCTTTCGAGCTCGTGAAGAAGGGAGTAAAGGCGGGATCTGCTGAGTCTTCTTTGCTCACAAAGCTGGGGATGAAGCCGTACTCACTCGTGGTTCACTCGGTGTACGACAATGGCTCAGTGTACAGACCTGAGGTTCTCGAGCTCACTGAGGATGAGATTTACAAGAGTGGAGCTTCCATTTTAGCTTCATTATCTATGGCCCTTTCATACCCCATTGTGGCTTTATGGGCAGCTTCACCACCCATAGGTATGGATGGGTCTAAGAATGACATGACCATGAATGCTCAGCCAGAGAATTCAAGCTCTCAGGCTCAAAATGTCCAGTAGTATGTTGAAGTAATGGTATTGGATTGGTGGTTTTGTTTTATCAAGTCATTGGATGATTTTGGGTTTTTGGGTCTCTTTCTCTCTCTCTCTCTTAAATTGCTTAGTTGGCCATGCGACACAGTTACATATCAATTACTAAGAGGTTGGAGTGAAAAAATTTAGTGTTTTTCAAAAGATGAAGATGTTTTTGGCCAAGTTTGGAGAAAGTGATAGTTCTCTTTTGTTTGAAATGCTATCACTTTAGTGGACTGTTATATTTTTTATTGACATTGTTGTTAAGTGGAAGTTATGGTGGACATTAGCCCTAAAAGAAAAGAACAAAATAAAAAAATTTGGAGCGAGCCTCTCTCCTTTTTTTCTCTTTTTTATATTTGTAGAGGTTAAGGTAAAAGAATGCCCCTGACTACCTTGTAATGACCATGCCTATTTCTTATGGAAAAGGTTTCTATATAGTGTCAACTTCATACTGGAAAAGTAAGGCGAACCTAAAAAACCCATAAAAAAATTATTTCGTCATTAGAAAATTCTCTAATTTATAATCTTAACATCAAGATGTATATATATATATATATATATTTGGATATAAAAAAAAAAATGAATATCAAGTCATGAAAATAGTGCATCTTGTAATATATTATCTAGGTAAATCCATTTTCAAGATTATTGAGTGCATATGTTAGATTTATAGAGCTTTCAATTTCATTATAACGGTGAAAAATAGACTTTTAGGTTATGATAAGACTTTTGGCACTGAAAATACAGATTTTGGGTTGCACCTTATCGTGATTGTTAAAGGTTGACACTTTATACAAACCTCATCCTAATATAGCCTTTCTTTGTTTAGGGTGGATTTATTAATTTTATTATCTATTTTTTAAAAAAAAAATTATTTTTGTGGGGCAAATATGTAAATAATACTACAAGACAAATGGTATTTTTGTCATCTCTATAAGGGGCAAATTAGAAATTTTAACTAATAAAGTTTCAAGACACTAACTTCTAAAATGTCATTGTACTATTGTAAAAATTTCAAATTTTTTCTTGTTTAATT